AGTCCTCTAGTAGCGTAGCCAATTAAAATGCAGGATTTGCATTAGTCCACTAGTTGGGTGATACTAACAAGTGTTAGCAGTGGAGTTCGGCGGTGCGGGAGGTACGGGAGTTGTTTTGCTGCTATCTGATATCTTGTCAACTCTAGGTTGTTCTGGGTGAAACTCACTTTGCAATTCTGAAGAATCATGAATGGCTGTTTCCATCGCTACGGCTATTTGCAAGACTTTGGTATACTTCAGTTTGGCTTCTGAGAGCAAACGCTTTTGAATCCGTACATTGCGAAGGCCACAGACCAAGCTATCTCGTAGGACTTCGTTAAGGTTTGCGCCAAAATTGCAGTGGGCCGCTAACTTCTTCAGATCGGCCTCGTAGGTCAACACAGTTTCTCCTTCACGCTGGTTTCGTTTGTAAAAACGAAGACGTCCTGCTATTTCCAGTGGTTTCGGACTTCAGTGTTGCTGAAGGGTTACGACGATCTCCTGGAAGCTCTTCGTACTGGTTTGTCTGGTGTCAGAAGATCTCTCAACAATGTATCCGTTTCGCCGCCGATCAAGCTTAAGAAGGTTGGCACTTGGTGGTCCTCATCTATGTTGTTTGCTAAGAAAAACTGTTCCACACGTTCCACGTAGGTTTCCCATTTCTCTAGTGTTTCATCAAAACTCTCTATCTTCCCGATAGAGGTCATATTTTCGACATGTTTTCTACGAATTTATCCTCGTCGCCATTGTCATGTATTAAGTTTTAATGCGAATCAAAGCACATGGCTACAGTAACACGCATAACTGCGCATATTCACTAATGTCAACCGCTGGCTAAATACACAACACGAAGAAATAATAATTTAAAGAAATGTTCTCAGTTAATTTCCGTTTTTAGGCTTGATTTCCGCTGATCTCTCGAGTACGCGAATCGGATCTACAAGTGCGCGTGGGATAGTTTCTTGAACAGTGGCTAGTAATCGAACCTATTCCGTTTTAAGAGCAAATGTCACCGAAAACCAAGCAAAATTTGAATTTAGCGGCAGAAGTCGAAAAATCGATTTTTCTCTCTTTTCGTCCACAAAAAGCCCTTAGGTAGATATGAAACGTGATATAGTTTTTTGGAGCTCGAAGCGCTTTAAATTCGAGAAAATCG